CAAAAAAAATTGGTTAAAATCGTATATTATAAGGCATTTTTTGTCACTGAGATTATTTTCTCTAATAATAATAATTATTATTATTATTATAATATAATTAATAATTTTTTTGTCCAGGCAAAAATGGGTGTCTACAGTAGTGTTCTACAATTACACATTAGTTACTTATACGATATAAGTTGTATTTTGTTCACATGTTGAAGCTTGGAAATGTTTTCTGAATGCAAATGAGTACAGGGTCAAGATTATATGAATTGCTATCTGTTATGTCTTAACTAGAAATTTTGTATAAACCAGCTCAGACTGGAAATTATAAATTATATTCATTATCATTTAATTTTCTTAATGTGTAATTTGACGGTAGAATTATTTTGGGTGCCATTGAAATAGTAATGACAATAATACAAGTCATGGTAGAGGGTCGGTTTAAAATCAGTTTAGTCCTCCAACTTTTGACTTTCTTGCAATTTCTTTCATACCAAAATTTAAATTTTATATTTTTACTTCTATGTAAAAATGCTTTCCGGTTCCTTCTTATTCCTGATAACAATTTGTGAATAATACATCATTTGATATTGAATGTTCATACCCGTGCTCGAACACATAACCTCAAATAATAACAACTTTAAATTAAGTTGTAGGTGCGGCAAACTCTTAAGAAAGTATTGACCAAAAATAAGGATAAAAATAGGCAACCAAAAAAGTTGGGCATGCAAACCAACAACGTGGTTTACTGATAGTCTACAAGAACTGTTATTGTGGACATTATTAAAGGCCTCAAATTTCTATTCACCACCGTATTTGTCTCGTTTTTCAACATCATCCCTGAATTAAGGACCCCTATTCCTATCCTACGCCATTCTACATTTTCTTTCTTCTTCCTCTTCTTTCCTCTCTAGGCTTTTGTTTCCCCTTTGGTCGACAAAATGGTAACACTTTGGCTTTTTCAATTTCTCATGTTCTATTTGGATTCTCTAATATCTTAAATATACCTCATTTGTTTATTTTGATTTTCGCTCTACTTTCCATTCATTCGGTAAATTATTAAATTTATATTCAAATTTCAACATGCATAACCTATTCCATAGGTGAGTTTAAGATGAGTTGTTTTAGAATTTTATACACATTCACATGTCTTTGTATCTCCTTAGGCTGAAGTCACTAGTGCATTATGTCATGCTGCAAAAGAGAAGCCACTATCCTAACTCGGATTGGTGCTAGAATTAATATTGGGATATAAGAGTTGGCATCACATTTAACTTGTGAAGTATATATAGAGATATAGATTTTTCTTGGCATAATAATGCAAAAACAAATGTCAGTAATGTTTGATTAATTATTTATTTTGGTTTCTAGTATTGTTTTAGAGCATTTTGACTCTCAGCATTTTATTTTAGGTAAAAAAAGACTCATTATATTTGACTAAATAATAACTTTAACCTTTATTCTTTTCTTTTGGAGTATTTTAGCCCACAACATCTCATTTTAGGGCAAACATTCATATTTGGAGCGTTGACAGTTTGTTGACTAATGATTTTCGTTCATGCAATGGTCTTTTTGTCCCGAAGTGAAACTTTGAGAGCAAAAATACTCCAAAAAAAAGTGCCAAAATGACTATTTAATTAAACTTTATGGTCATTTTTTGTCATTATGCCATTTTTAATAAAACTATTAGCTTAAGGCAAAACTGGCCAACGTTAGTGTGATCGGGGTATTGCAAGGATCCAGGGACGAAGCTATGTATAGTGTTGGGGGTTACTGCCTTTAATTTATCATTAAAAGATATATAAGGATAAATATTTATAGATTTTGGTTTATTTTGATTTTGTCTTTCTTATTTTTTTATTGTTAGTTATATTTTATCCATTGAATTAAAACCCTGGCTCCGTGCCGGGCGAGGACCAGCATTGTATGTATACTTTTTGTAGTTTATTGTTTGATTTTGATATATACATGGTGGGGAATGCAAATTTGGAACAGGCGAACGCGGCATCTGGAATGGCAGTAGATGATGAATGTAAGCTGAAGTTCTTAGAGCTAAAGGCGAAGAGGAATTACAGGTTCATCGTTTTCAAGATCAACAACCAGCAGGTGGTGGTCGACAAACTGGGCGGCCCCGATGAAACCTATGAAGATTTCTCCGCCGCTCTACCTGTGGACGAGTGCCGCTACGCTGTCTTTGATTTCGATTTCACTACTGCTGAGAACTGCCAGAAAAGCAAAATCTTCTTCATTGCTTGGTGCCAACCCCTTTTTGAATTTTCATTCAACACACCATGGTTTTTGTTTCTTACATTACAAGATGACTGATGACAGGTAGTAAAATGCAGGGCACCTGATACATCGAGGGTGAGGAGTAAGATGGTGTATGCGAGCTCCAAGGACAGATTCAAGAGGGAATTGGATGGGATTCAAGTTGAGCTGCAGGCTACGGATCCTAGTGAAATGAGCTTCGACATTATAAAAGCTCGGGCTATTTAAACGCGTTTTTCATCCTCTAATTCCGATCACCGTCCCTGTTCCCTGTCCGGTACCAGTTTCAGCGTTGGCTTATTTGTATTTTTTTAAAGCAGTATTTTCCTCTAACTATCGGTATTTGATTTATTGATCGATTAATTTATCGAATTTTGTAGAGACTCAACGATTTTTCCAAAGTTTACTCTACTATTAAATACTATGATTCGAACTTCTAATCTTAATTAAGAAATTTAATGTCTAATCCAATTAAATCATTTTACTGTTGATTAAACCTCAATGCTTTAACTAAATATAAAAATTATATTTTTTATTTTTCATACACTTTTAATTTTAATTTCCTCACCCTTCCGACTTATCACAATAGTTAACAGTAACAATCTTAACTCTTACAAGCTGCAACAGTAGTAAATTTATGATAATGCAATTAAGTTTAAGCCATACTCATAAACATAATATTAGCAATCAAATATGTTGTCTTTTCAGCAATTTATGTTTAATTGCAACCACTACCCAAATTAAGGTTTAATGTTAAAATAAGTATTCAAATCATATTCTAAGTTAATTTTAAGTGTTTAAAGAATTTTTCACTAAAAACAGATGTCTAATATTTTCTCTGTTACACTTTTAGATTTCCAGTCCGTAACATCCGTTAAATTCAGTCATTATCTAACACATGTCATGCTTATAAAACTTGTAACATTTTATTTTAAAATAAAAAACTTCAAATTATAATTTTATTTTAAAAACAATTTTCTTTAAAATTACAAAAAAAATCCCAAAATCATAAAAACTTAAATTTCAAACTTATTTTCAATTATCATCGGTCATCTCCGGTCACCGTCTCTATCATCAAATGGTCACTTACATGTCGTTGTTGACCTACTGACCATCCATCGTTATTTCCGTCACTCTAAATCCTTAAATAGCTGAACCCCTAAATTTTTTAATTCCCATATCCCTAATAGTTTTAAAACATAATTTCTCCGGCCATGCTAACTTTATGCCGGTCACGTTAACTTCGTATGAAATTAAAGGCGCGTGAAATAGGGAGCAAGCTCGTGTGTAGTGGTGGTGGGGATTTACAATCCCTTGATGCGTGGTTGGGGGATGTACAATCACATGATGCACACGTGAGGTTTGTGGTGGGGGATTTATCATGCGAAAGGGGAGATTTGAACAGCCGTATGAACCGGCTGTGGGGGTTGCTTCGTTCGATCGAGGTTCCTCCATTTGATGCAGTGGTCATTTGGCCTTCGACGACACTAACGACCGCGGCAGTAGTAGGAAAAATTTAAGGTTACAGTTTTTGGATATTAGGGTATTTCAGTAATTTTAAAAAATAGGTTTTTTTAATAAAAATAATATTTTTTAATTTTTTAATAATGCAGGAATTATTTTTGCCATTAATAGATATTCTGATAATCAAATTGGGTGGAAATTGCCATTAGGGAGTAGGGACATCTGACATATTAATTTACTTTCCATTGCTGCTTTTAGTGTTGGCTGTTCCTTCTGCTTCCTCTTATTGTTAAGACTAAGGTTAATTTGTTTCACTGAAACAGTTTTTGAAAAATTAAATCTAAAAAATAAATTATATTTCTGAAAAATATTTTCTGAAAAATTAAATCTGGAAAATGAATTATATTTCTGGAAAATATTTTTTAGAAAAATATTTTCTAGCGTTTGGATGTTACATTGTAAAATGTTTTACACTGTTTAGTTAATTTTTCTGAAAACAATTTTCAGAATCTGTTTTTAATAAAGAAGCATACATATTCGATATATTTTTATTCTTCACCTTTTAGTTTTATTAAAAGTTCATTTTATTTTTTATATAATTATATATTTATAAAACTTTGTATTTTTATAAGCACATCAAACTAATTTTTTAGATAATATTAATAGTTTATATTGATTGTGTTATAAATACGCTATTTTAGGTTTAAAATCTTCATGATGCTTATCCATTAGTATTTTTAGAAATGAATTTCAACATATAGTTAATATTATGTAGGTTTATTTGATATAATATTAATAATTTATTAAAAATAGATTATAAAAGTTTATAAATATTATGTAGGTTTAATTAATAGTACACCACATTAAAACAACAATAGTACACAACATTGTAATAATAATAATGTCATTAATTATACCTTTACTAGTAATAAAGTGGATAATATCAAACTCTCTATTCTTAAAGTTTGATTGCAGATGCTGTGATTTCTCAAATTTCTAATACTTCTAGCAATGTTGTAGATAAGATTTTTGAACAATGGGGTGTCCATCAATGAAATGCATACCCAAACGAATTTCTTTTCTAATAGTCAATTAAGTTGCTATTAATGAAACTTTTTTCAATCAAAAAAGAAAGGAACCAAACAACTAAATTTGAGAGAAAACTTTCTTGAATATAAACACGACAGGAAAGCAGTTAATTTTGTTTACAGAAAACAAAAATCGGATCAATTCAGAAGGATAAAACTTTAAATTAGTAAGTACCATCTTGACATTTTTCATCCTTTGAACCATTGCTTGTTCCAGGCAATTCATCAAATGAACTCCCTAATTTGCCACCTCGCTTGCTAGCCAAGGAAGAACCGGTTCTCATCTTTAGTAAACGACTATCATTCATGGAAGCACTTTCAGTTTGAAAACTGGGTTCATGATGACCCAACCATTGAGTAGAAGGCCCTGGATCATTCTGAGATGTATTGAAGCTCTTTTAAGATAACCACTCAATGCTAGAGGATTTATCAGACCAACTGATGTAGATAACATCATGTCTATCCACTGCAAAATTGAAAAGAATCAATCAAGTCCAAGAGCAGAAACTAGAGCGATATAATCGTTTAATAATCTAAGACAGTCTAATACCTTTACAATCAGCAGTTAGAGCAAATTCACCAACAGCACCCATTGCTTTAGAATTACCACAAGCTTTTTCAGTACTTGACGATCCACAAGAACTCTTACAATAAATCCCTGGAAAAGACGACATTGATTAATCAAATGCTATAAATCTTATAAAACATAAAACACAGTCAGAAAGAGAGAAATAAGACATTTTGAGGTAGTAAATGCAACAACAATAACCTGAGAGAATCTTGATTACACTTATAACAAGCTTCGTAAAAGACAGTCGAGATCCACGAGACTTCAACTTCCCTTTCATTTCTAGCAGATGACTCTACAGTAAAAGTAAATAAAAACAATCTTAACAGCTTAATAAACGTGGCAGTTTAGTTATACAAATCAAGCTTAAAAGGAAAATGAAATCAAAATAACTGAAAATTACAATTCAAGTACCTCATTATCACTACTAAGGAATGCAGCATTTTCCATGATTTTCAAACATTTAGAAAGCAGCACCAGGCTCTCCAGATCCTTTTTATCTTCGGTAAGAGGAGAAGATAAACTCTGCTCCACCCAACCCTGCAGAGAAGATAATGCATTATATGTCACTGATGAATGTCTTCTTGTAAATGTAAGAGATGGAACCAGAAGACAATCCCAAAATTTAAAGCAGTATTTTTTTTTAATCTCCTTCGGTTGAAATGCAAAAGAACATAAATCAGATAAGCTCACACCTCCATAAAGGAATGGCACTCCATGGCCACTTCAAAGACTGCATCAAGTCCTCCAAGCTCTCTTAGTTTCTCCTTGAAATTGCCCCCAGTTTTTCTTACAGTACCAGTTGCATCTGAATGAATGATACCAGGGGGAAAACATGGAAAAAAATCAGCAAAAAGTGAAAAAGCACTTGACTGTAGTGTATGAGTGTGTATTTTATATGTAGTTGTGTTTAGATCTATATTGAGCTACCATTATAGTTCCAGGAAAACAATCTATAAATAAACATGTATAAATCTTAGATATTTCCATTAGATACCTTCAAGAGAAATTTTAGACAAACAGGCTTTCTCCAAAGTCAACAAAGCTATCCATTTTGGGCTTAACTCAGGCCTTTGTAAACCAGTATCATCCCCACATTTTGACTTCATTTCCTTGCAACTAACAAGAATTTCCTCAACTTTGGAAGCAATGGCTGCAGAGCTTGAACCCAACACTTAAGTTGTATCCCGTGAGATGTCAACATCCTTGAGTAATGCCAAAAGCTTAAATCCCACTTTCTCTGTTTTGTTTTGTTTAGCAGTGTGGGTAATAGGCTTTAAAGTTTTAATTAGAAATTGGATGCAACAGGGTGACTCCAGGAGATGGTCATCTTGACCCTGACACAATAAATTCATACAAATGTTGAAGATTACTGTAATTGACACGTTCAAAACATTTGTTTCGATTATATCCAAATATTGGTCTAAGAGACAGGAAGCATAAAAGCTAGGCATATAAGCAGGAACCTCTTGCCATCCGAAATTTTAAAATAAAGAATAAAAATCAACTGAAGATAAAATGGGAAACCCAAATGTGTGGTCGGGCAGATTAGCATGCAAGACTCCAATATAAGACACAATTAGTCATTAACAAAATTTGTTTGTGCAGAAATAATAGTACTAATAACTATTGAATCCAAACCTTCTCACATGAACCCTATATGTGCATAAAATCCTCAAGACTATTAAACAGAAAATACTTCTAGACTCATAAATAGTAATTGAATTGCAACTTCAAGGGCTGAAAATGGCAATTGGCAATTCCTAAAAAGAGTGCAGTCAATGACGTTACACTTTATACCGACGCCAGATTCCAGTACGGACGGGAAAAAATAATAGAATGTGACAGACCTTCTAAATTCTACCGGATACACAAACTAACCATCAAAGGAGATTTTTTAAATCAACAAATTCAAATGCCATCCGTTAAGTAGAGGTTCTCAGAAGGGAATTCAAATTTTCAAACTCTTCCTGTAACTACGAATCCATATAGGCTAAAAGCCTAAAACAAAACATCAAAAGAAGCAAAATGCACCTTCAACCTGATTTGAATTCATATTTCAAAAATCCACCAAAAATTAACACTACCCAGATGCCCAAACCAAGAGATTTCAACAGAAAGAACATTAAAACTAAAAACACAACAAGAATTCAACATACCCATGAATTCTCAGCAGTCTCCTCTGTGGGAGAGTGGCGCAAATCGAAAGCAAAGACAAGAGACTAGCTCTCCTGATCCTCACCGGCTAGCCTTTCTTTAAGCCATCGAGCCCGAAATTAACCTCGTCCACATGCTCCATCATTTCCCCGAATTCTTGAGCCTCCATCAGACTCGAAGTCGACGAAATCCACGGAAAACTGGGCTAAAAGCTTGGTTTTTGATATCTGCCGAGCCGGTGAAAATGAAAATGGAGGTCAAGGAAGATGAAACATCTATTAAAAGGAGGTCAAGGAAGATGAAACGAGAGAAGATGAAAAGAGAGATACCTGAGAAGACGACTGTCCGCCTCGCCGGTGAGAAGGAAGCCACTGGATCGCTCGATTTTTCGGTGAGGAGCAAGGGGGAAAACGAAGGAAAATGACTTACCCTTTTCCAATCGGTAAGTCATTTTACCATGTTTTGCTTTGAGTTTTCCGTTGACCGTAAAACAAATTCCATTGACCCTCTTGTTTTAAGAGAATCAAACACGAGAAAACGGGGAAAGCATTTTCCCAACCGAACGGACCCTAAGCAAAGGGACTATCCCCTTCTCATTTTCAAACCCTGAAACCAAAACTGAAACTAAGATTAATGACCATCTTTTTCATAATCTTTCTTGGGGATGTAAGCATTTGAGACCCTTGCATTTTATATAAGAGGATTGAAAAAGGCTTTGGTTTGTTGTGTTCCATGATTTGTTGCCTTGACCTTGACTTTATAGGTACTTAATCTTAACCGCACACGAGTTGAATAAGTTGTTTGATTCAACTCATTATCATGCTTTTTTTTAACAAGCATGGTTACTCTTTCATGGCCGCTGTGATTGTAGGAGCTTCCAGTGTTATTGGCGCTGAAACTGCACGTGTTCATGTAGTCATGGGGGTAAGGAATGTGGCTGCTGGTAAAGATGTCAAAGAAGCAATTGTGAAGGAAATTTCAACCGCTAAAGTTGATGCAATGGAATTGGATCTCAGTTCAATGGAATCTGTGAGGAAATTTGCATCAGATTTCAGCTCCTCAGGTCGACCTCTGAATCTCCTTATGTAAGTGGAAAAAAACTGTGGGAAGCCTTTTGGATATCATTTCCTAGCCGCCTGGAGTAGTGATCAAGTATAATAGTCATCTCCAGCCATTTTCATTTTAGGCATGATAAGTGCTAGAGAATCATATCAGATGTCATGTAATTTTGTTTGCTTTGCTTTCAGTAATAATGCAGGAATTATGGCAACTCCTTTCATGCTTTCAAAGGACAACATAGAACTACAGTTTGCAACCAACCACATAGGTATGTTTAGCATAAAACTAATCCTAATGACATTCATCTAAACCCCAGTTACAAGCTCCTTTTTCTTCTCACATTTTGAAAGCATCAATAAACAACTCTGTAGAGGAAATGAATACTCTTTATCTGTGTTTTTTTAAGGAAGCAGCTAATTTTTGTAGTGCTTGTGAATTTGAACAGCTGGGAATAAAGATAGTTTCTGCCATCTCATTTTCCTCTGTCTAAACTCTAAACCTACACAATAGCTTGTTTTGTTACTACAAAAGTTGCTGTTTGCATTTTCTGTTGCATAGAGTTTTGTGGTTGATTGCTTCAAGAAAGGGGAGAAACAAAACGGAGAAGTAGGCTATTGTTAAAGCTTTATTCTTAACTTTTGAATGCTATAAAGTGGTCATTTTCTTTTGACACACCTCTTGCTGGACACTATGAAGAAAACTGCACGGGCAAGAAAAAGAGAAGGAAGAATTATAAATGTCTCATCAGAAGCTCACCGTTACACGTACAAGGAAGGAATTCTTTTTGACAAGATTAATGATCAGTCAGGGTAACACCATATACCTTCTTTGAAATGCATAGATTCATGCAATCCTTAGGAACATCAATTTTTTTATTTCTTTTTGTGAAATACATGTTTGTTGTGGAAGAAGTTGAATATACCTTTTAAACTTTGGCATGCTGACTTTTACCACAGTTAACATATATGATATATGTAATGCCTATTATAGTGACAGCTAATATCAATTTCATTCAAATTTACTTGTTTGATATTAAGACATTCCATGTATTTATGCCTATTATAAGATACTGTGGTTGATGCAGCATGAATTAGAGAAAAGTAACAAAAGCTATTTTAGGAATAGTCTTGGAAAATAAAAGTAGTAAACCTAAAAATAATAGAAAATAAAAGAAAGTTGTCTTCGTCGAGAGAAAAAACTAAAGAATTCTCTTCTTTTTTTTCTTGAATGAATTGAATGATCCACAAAGCTCCTCTAGTAGGCGTCAGAATACCTAATTTCTTGTAATAAAAAGTAGAAAACTAAATAATTTGCTCATTTATCTAGTACGTAAAAAATCAAATTTATTTAAGTGAATTATCTTAAAAAAACTCATCATCCTTATATACTAGATAACAATAACATAATAAAGTAATAAATAACAATTTTATAGTAAATGATAAATTAGTAACTAAATAATTTGCTCATTTATCTAGTACGTAAAAAATCAAATTTATTTAAGTGAATTATCTTAAAAAAACTCATCATCCTTATATACTAGATAACAATAACATAATAAAGTAAATAATATAACAAATTTTATAGTAAATGATAAATTAGTAAACTTTATCTCCGCATCAGTGGTTTTGCTTTTATCTTTTGTTTGGATGCCTATTGTAACCATTGACAGCTATCTGTAAGATGATGCAGTAGTTCCATTAAGCAGAATAAAGTTATATTGTCATATTTTCCAATTTGGTAATGTACAGGTACAGCAGTTTTGCTGCATATGGCCAATCAAAACTTGCTAATGTTCTGCATGCTAATGAACTAGCAAGACGCCTAAAGGTATGTGATCATTTTTTCGTGGGATCAAGGATTATTCTCAGTAGTAAAGTTGCCGGCTTTTTGTTCTATTTTGGCACATTTGAATGAGTTGAAGGTGAGGGAAGTTCAGCTTTTATCCTTAGTTGCCTGTTGGAGGATTCTTAATGTTTTGTGCACAGGAAACATGAGACAAAGCTGACACGGCTAATTTTAGATAACACGTTGTATTTCTGCTTAGAATTTTTCCACATTTAATAACTTCTTCTGTATATAGGTTCACAGTTACATAATTTTAAAATAATAATGATGATGATGATGAGACACCACATATACATGGATTGCCAGGTCTAAAGCTAACTCTGAGTAGGCATTCTCTGTTTCTTCTGCTGCTTGCTTCCACTGAATGTCTAAATTTCATACAACTGAAGTTCCTTTTTGAAACAGATCAAACATTTATTGAGATTTTTGCATGTTGAAAACATCCCATGTTATTATCTCTCACACAGTTTTGTTGCGCTCGGTAGTCAATATGGTATTTATAATTTATGTCTTACTAGGCACACTTTGCATAAAGATTGATGTTCACCAATTGATTGAGCAGGAAGATGGTGCGGATATAACTGCAAATTCACTTCACCCAGGAACAATTGCCACCAATCTTTTCCGCCATATCAATCTGGGTCCAGTTACCGGTAACTTGTTAGTTATCGACATGTTTGCATGACATGTAGCATGCATCTCATTCACAAATTTGTTGTGATCTTGATGCAGGGCCTTGTTAACATCTTCGGTAAGATTGCACTTAAAAACGTCCAGCAGGTAAGCTCCTTTCATGTAGCATTACCAATTCAGATCATGCCTTTAAAACTGGTTATAGTAGTACAAGCCTCAGTCTATCATTTTGACTGCACACTTTCAAAGTACTTCATAACCTTTCATACAGAAAAATGAAATGAGACTTTTCAAACTATTTCTCAACTATTGACAAAGCACACACACCCTGTAGATACAACTGCTCGAAACCAAGATCTCTTAGGAGAATAACACCCCTTAATCATTGAGACCACCTAATGGGTTCGAATTTGTTTTTCAGTTATATACTGTTTTTTGGTCATAGGGAGCTGCCACAACATGCTATGTGGCATTGCATCCACAAGTGAAGGGTAAAAAGTGAATATTTCAAGGACAGGAACATAGGGAAAGCAAGTGAACATAGAAGGAATGTTGAGTTGGCCAAGAAACTCATAGATTTCAGCATGAAGATGGTTAAACGAGAAATATATAGACAATAAATGTCGAACCTCAACCAAATTTATGTATATTGAACCAAAGTGTGTTGGAGCTAATAATTTTACCACGATCGGTAGTATTGTGTTGATATTTCTGTTTTCCGAAATATTTAAATTTATATTTTTCAATTAATTGCATTACATGTCCTCAAAGTATGACCCCCATTTTAAATTGGTATCTAGACTTTCAAATATTTTAATTTCACCCTTAAGCTATGACTATAATTCTAAATTAGTCCTCAAACCTTTGAACATTTCAATTTCATCTCTAAACTTTTACCTTCATTCTAAATTGATCCATTAATTTTTTGAATATTTCCATTTCATCTCAAACTATATGTATATACTAATCACATCCCCCGTTAATAGAATTGTTAGGCAAAGTTATATTATTATATGTTCGAGAAAACAAAAATTATAGTTGAAACTATTATATATTTGGATGAATTTGGGATAAATTTGGATTATTCAAAAGTTTAGGGATTAATTTAGAAAGAGGGCAATAGTTTAAGGATGAAATTAGAATGTTCAAAAGTTTAAGGACTAATTTAAAATGATAGTTATAATTTGAGGATGAAATTAAAATATTCAAAAATTAAAGAACCAATTTAAAATGAGAGTTATAGTTTAGGAACATAAGTGACCAACAAATTCGCAACGCGAACTCCAATTTCGCAACCTAGTTTCCAATTTTGCAACGCGAATCTGTAAATCGCAACACAGAAGTCAAATTCACAACACAAAAGTCAAATTCGCAACACGAAATTTCAAATTCGCAAATGAATTTCAAATTCCCAACTAGATTTTCGAATTTGCATCACGAATTTAATTTCGCAACAGGTTTTAGTTTCGCAACACAAATGTTTTGGGTATATAACAACGCAGCAACAACAACTCATAACCTAAATCCCTAAATCGTAACTCATTCCATCTCCATCTATCACTCTCTCCGGTGACATCTGTTCCTATATCCAACGACATCCTTCCTCATCTCTAATTTTTTATTACATAATTTTATTTATATATAATTTTTCAATGATTTCTCTCCCAAATTATCAACTATCAACTTAATAAAGGTATGTTTTTCTCTAAGTTAGTGATGATATCTAGTTTATAGCTCGTTTGTTTAGTAAATTAATTTACAATTTGTATAATGAAATCATCTAATGTTGATCATGTTTGGATAGATTTGTGTTTTGGAGGGTCATGGGAGAATGTTCATGGTGTTTTACAATATGTTCCTTTACCCATGAATCTTCAACTAAAACTGTCATTATAAAAGTTAACTTATGAAACTCTAATGTTACGTGTTGCAAAGAAATTGAATTTAGAGCCTCTAAGTGGATTTAGGCTATATTATCAGAGAAAAGATAAGGTTTATTTGTTAACCGACAATGAAGATGTTGAACGATTCATTGCTTACATTAGTGTTTCGCAAGAAGGTGATGTTACATTGTATGTTGTTGAACCTAGAACTAGTGAAGTTGGGTCAGTAGCGAGTAGTAATCAACTAAGTTCTTCAACCCCAGTTTATGGTGCTCACATGTACAACGTTTTATCAACCTCAAATTAATGGTTCCACCACAATTTCATCCCAAGAAAATTTGTTTCACCACATTTCCAATACCAAACAATATCAACACAATCTCAAAACCCACAACCTTTTCGTAATCCAAATCCCAATCAACTTTCAGCACCAAATTTCGGTTTTCGTATTGACTAGTTAGACGATTATGAGCCAACATAAAAAATTCTGAGTACTAATCAGTATTCAAAATTTTATCTTGGTCAATACTCGGATTTTGATGATGTGATGGAAGAAGAAACAAACCCTACATGTAATGATTTTGATATTGGTCAATACCCGAATTTTGATGATGAAACAGTCGCTGCCGAGGAAGATGTTGTTGATGATAATGAGGAGGAAGTTACGACTATGAATAAACATGTTGAACATCCATTCTATAATTCATATAACACTGAAAAAGAAAAAGAAGAAGAAGAAGTCCCCTGAGAAAAGAAAAATAAGAAAATGCCACAGGAGTATAACTGGAATATGCCAGAATTACTTCAGATACCGGAAGAAGAGTTGGTAAAGATAGCAGTTGATTGTTACACAAAAGTTATTCGTATCAAGAAAGATGATTGTTTTGATACAAAGGAAGACTTGAAGATAGTTTTGTATACGAAATGTGTGGAAGATGGCTATCAACTAAAAGTTAACAAATCAAGCAAAGATCGTTTTGAAACAAAGTGTATGATTGACAAAAATTGTACGTGGCGTATGATTGCAAAGAGGATAAAAGATTGCGAAATGTTTCAAGTTAGGACTTTTATTGATAAACATATATGTTCAAGAACCCAAGTTTTTCCTCACCATAGACAGACAAACAAGAAGGTGTTGGGTGGTTTTCTGGCTGAGTTAATATTTTTGAATGGAAGGGTATATCGGGGACATGAAATTATGACTGACATGAATGCTCGGTTCAAGATTAGTATCTCATATTCTCAATCTTGGAGAGCCAAATGTTATGCCTTGGAATTGTTGAGGGGGTCGCCAGAAGCATCGTTTGCCCAACTGCCGGCTTATTGTCACAATTTAAAGCTGAAAAATCATGGGTCGGTAACTCATATCAAAACAGATAGAGATGGACGCTTTGAGTTGCTGTTTATCGCCATTGGTGCTGCGGTTAGTAAATAATTATAATTTTGTTGACTCGTTTTTGTTAGTTGCATGAATTTCACATTTAAATGATTATATTTCTTGTGTATATGATTTTGTAGATTCGTTCGTTTATTACTTGCATGCGCCCAGTTATTATAGTTGACATAGCACATTTGAAAGGTCGATAACTTTGAGTAAACTTATTAGCAGTAGCCATGGATGCTAACAATGGGATACTGCCAATAACTTACGGGGTTGGCAAATCTTAAACCTCTGATTCATGGACATGGTTTATGGGGCATCTTAGGGATTGCATAGGTCCTATTAGCAATCTGACAATCATATCTGATAGGGCAAACTCAATTGACAACGTTGTTAGAAGGTGTTTCCCAGATGTTTTTCATGGACTTTGTGGTGTTCGTTTGTACAGAAATCTAAAATCAAGGTCTGCTGGTATAAAAAATCACAAATGGACATATTGGAAGGCTGTAAAAGCTTATCGGGAAGTGGATTTTAATAAGCAAATAAATTATTTAAGACGTGTTTTGCCTCAATTTGCTCAAACACTAGAAGATGTCGGGTTTGAAAGATGGTCAAGAGTACATCAACTTGGAGCAAGATATGGTTTCATGACATCTAATAGTGCAGAATCAATCAACGCTCTAAGTCACCATTCCCGAAAATTACCCATTACTATGTTAATGAAGTTTTTTCAAGCCTCTATTCAACAGTGGTACTACAAGAAAAGAAACCATGCAGGTATTATTTCTTTAAATTAGTAACTTATCATATATTTTACTAAGTATTATATATTTAAATTTACAGGAACATTGGAACGTCGTGTTACACCATGGACTGAAAAAAAGATAACGAAATGTGTTGTGAAGTCAACGTCATGGAGAGTTGAACCATGTTCAAACACTTTGTTTGAAGTATTGGATAATAACTTAAATGGGCTTGTCGATCTAAATGAAAAGACATGTAGTTGTAAGAAATGGCAAACATCTGGTTATCCGTGTGGTCATGTTATAAAAAGTTGCTCTTCGTCTAAACCAAGATGATTCAAGCGCATACGCTATGGATTGCTACATTACAGAAGTATATCGACAGACTTATGCCGAGATTGTCTACCCATGTCCACATCCTTCTGAGTAGGACATACCAGATGACTTACAAACAGTTTTGCCACTAGTGGGGTGAACGGAGACGTAATGGCACGTGCACAACGTCTGATGCGTGAACCTCGTCGTGCAAGAAAAACCTGACGTAAAGCATCTACCTTATCGGGCCTCTGAAAATAAATTAATACATAAATCACTAAATAAATAAATAAATAATGCCGAAAAAAGGTTATTTGTATTTTTAGTATAGTATTAAACAAATTTACCTCATTGCGTAAAGTATGAACCTCATTCTATAACGATGAAACAATCTCGCGTAGAGCTGCAACCTCATCACGTAAAGTAGATACCTCACCACGTAGAAGACCATTGTCATCGCGTAAAAAATCCACCTCACCACGTAAAGATCGAACCTCATCACGCCATGAACCATTATCTTCACTAAAGTACCGACCTCATGACGCAAAGCACCGACCTCATCACGTAACTCCCTTAACTCATCCCGTGGAGGTGGAGAACAGGGAGATAAATGTCGTGGCCTCTTTGTCAGTCGTCTATCATGAGGTGATGGTTGAGAAGAGGCTCAATGATGTGATGGAATAGGTGATGGTGGAGGTGGAGAAGAGGTTCGATCAGGTGATGGCTCCGGGTGTCGAGCTGTAGAATCGGCCCGATCAGGTGATGGCTCTCGAAGTGGGGGTGCTCATCATTCGTCCCATCAAAAAACCGCTTACTAGCTTGCCACCAATCAATGGCAAGCTCAGCCTCTGTGGGTGTCAGCCTCTGTAATGGATAGTTGGCCTCCTAACAATATAAAAGCTCAAATAAAGTTAAACTTGTACTAGTAATAACTTGTTTATATATGGTATTATTTGTGTGTTAACTTACATCATTCATCGTCGTATATGGGAGTAACTCTTCCCAATCCAACATGCATATCCTCTTCCAGGTAATAGCCTTAGGAATATCATTTGATCTTTTTTATCGCATATGTCCGCATGCTGGGGAAAGCCTCAAATATACAAATCTACAAAACAATATAATACACAAACATTAGTAATTGTTAAATAATTAATTATAATTTTGGAAACATTATATAGAAATTCTTACCTTAAAGGCCCAAGTAAAGCCTGTCAAAGTGTATTTAGAACCATCGCCCCGCAAACTTTTTCGGTTCTCAAAGGCAGACGACAACTTCTTCCAGGTAGCTTTCCATAGATATGAACCCCACGGAAATAGGTTTCATGCATTTAGGTCCTCTACCAATAATATTAGGTCCTCAGAGATAGGTTGTCTGCCCTCTTTGCCTAAAAAGCCGGCATGCAAAAGTAATAAATGGCATACTCGGACAACATCAAGGTCATCTATCCGAGTAAAACCATCTTTAACAAATAACCTCTTCAAGTCGTCGACGTGTAAACTCGGCTTCGACTTTGCCAGCTCAGGAAAAACCCGAGATAACCCTGATGGGCGGGAGATATGACTAGTGTACCGAGTTACTTCATCGTGTCCGAAGCGTAGACCAGTGATTAAGCAAAACTCCTCCCGCCCAAAACAAGTATATGCCGGTGATGGAGGAAAATGAAACCATATCTCTTCATCACCACGTTGTATCCTCTCGGGTAGATCGTTAGTCATGGTATGAAGAAACAAATGTGTCAACATAGCATCTCCACCCATATGTTGTACTTTCATCCATGGCCCGAAGCAAGTATCCTCAAACAATTTTCTTTGTAGAGGTGTAAGCGTCGACGCAATTTTAGTGGCTATGCTTAATTTATTCCTTAAGGTCAATGCAGCCGAAAAAAATTTCTACAAAAATAATAAACATACCAAGTTAGATATACCAAAAACTACAAATTATACACTATAAACAGACATGATATTAAACAGTGAAAACAAAGCCAAATATGTTTCAAACTAGAACGGTATTCACATGCTGTCATTATTCCATCATAGTTCACAAAATGCATCAAATAACATTCCAGAATAAGAGTAGTAGTTTATTCTTGAAACTTAAATTAGCAACACTGTGAAGTTAGTATTTGTCTTTGTTTTGTCTTTTTTATTGAAGTAATGCGATTCATTCAAGTTTCAATTTGCAAAATAAGAGTAGTTTCTGAAACTTAAATTTGCAACGCGAAACTAAAATCGCGTTGCGATTTTCATTTTCGCGTTGCGATTTTCATTTTCGTGTTGCGAATTTAAGTTTCAAAAACTATTCTTCTGCAAATTGAAACTTGAATGAATTGCATTTCTTCAACAAAATGACAAAACAAAGATAAATACTAACTTCATAGGGTTAAAGACTAAACAGTTTAACAGTATTGGCAGCAACCGAATGAATTTACTAAGCAATCTCAGTGAAATGGTTAATCTTTATATATATTGAAATTACCAGTAAATTTATCATCAATGTAAGAAAAATCTAATAATAATACAAAAATTTTAAAATAAAAATAAGAGATTAAAAAACTAACCCTCGGTGGTTGATTTTCTATTTCTGACCGTGAATGGTTGTGAGGGTTGCTCTGAGAGATGGAGATAGACGAATTTCGCCGGAGATGGGGACGGATGTCGTCGTAGAGAGTGAGAGATAGAGATGGGATTGAGTTGTGATTTAGGGTTTTAGGTTATGATTTGCGATAATACTGTTTACATTTGTGTTTCGAAATTAATATTGTGTTTCGCATTGCGAATTTGAAATTCCGCGTTGCGAATTTGACTTTTGTGTTGCGAATTTGGCTATCGTGTTGCGAATTTGACTTCTGTATTGCGATTTACAAATTCGCGTTGCGAATTTGACTATCCCGTTGCGAATTTGACTTCTGTGTTGCAATTTACAAAGTCACGTTGCGAATTTGACTATCGCGTTGCAAATTTGACTATCGCGTTGCAAATTTGACTTTTGTGTTGCGAATTTGACTTTTGTGTTGCGAATTTGACTATTGCGTTGCGATTTACAGATTCGCAACGCGAATTTGGAAAACCGCAATGCGATTTACATATTCGCGTTGCGAAATTGAAAACTGGGTTGCGAAATTTGAGATCGCGTTGCGGATTTGTTGGTCATTTTGGCAAATCCAAAAAAAGTTGGTTAAAATCGTATATTATAAGACATTTTCGGTCACTGAGATTATTTTCTCTAATTAATATGGCAAACTTGTAATGGGGCAGCCGATTCGAATTATTTCACGATTTATGTTTTTTTACAAGTGAATAAGCTGATTTTTTACGTGGATTTATACTATTTAGTTTCAAAAATATTCGTTTGGTATAATAACTTTTACTTGAAAATGTCTTTTTAATTGTGTGATGCCTCACAATAAAAAGTTTAATCGTCTATTTTAAAAGAAAAGAAAAGAAAAAAAGTTGATGAGATGTTACAATGAATAAATTTGCACACAAATAACTATTTGAATAGATATAAATTTAATACTTGTAAGTTTGAATTTAAAATAGAATCTATATTTGGTTGGGTTACTTTAGATAACTACTTAGGTAGGTAAAAATGAAAGTATTCGTAATGACATTTAAAAATGATAAAAATAGATATAATATGATTATTATGTCATAGTAATATACTGTTTTAAAAGTAATTTTATTTGAATGGGTATAATTCATGTCTCTGATCTAATTGATGTAACTTTTAATACTCAACGATCTGATATGATTTATGAACTTTTTCCTCATGACATTATCCATAATGAGTATTTTACAATTTGGAGCGTCTACAAATTCTTGTTGCATGTCAATGAGTATCAAGCATCAATCTCTAGTGCCTAGTAGCATTTTATGACCTAAAAAGAAAGACGGTCTATGAATATCTCTATAAAAAACTTGAAGGATATCGCCGATAGAGTTACTATAAGACAGTAACGATCAATTATCAACTAAAACAAACTTAGCCATATAATCCACTACTCTATTGGTTTCTCGCCTGATCAAAAGAATTCAACATACTACATTTTGCTAAAGAGATCAACAATGACTCATCTGAGAAAAATAACTGTTTGACATCGATGACAAAAGGAGTTTAAGGAGAATCACATTTATCTCTGTTATACTTATTTTTAAAATATTATAAATTTATATAAAATATAAAATATTAATTTTTATTCAATTCAATAATATGACTAATTTGTTATAAACCGTCATTTAAAAGTTATCGTTTTGATATTACTTTTAAAAGTAATTTTGAAAAGTGTTGTAAAAATATAATTGTAAAAATGTTTTTGAAAAGCGTAGCGAGTGTTTGACAATGAGTGGAAAATCACTTTCCTATTAGGAGAAGCATTCTCTAAAATTTGAAAAGATTGCCATAAAAACATGGTAGCATAGTCAGAAGTTTGATGTTTCTACCTGAATATTCAAAAGCTGAAGTTCATTTCCTCAAATGTATTTTTTAGGACATTCACCAGGTCCAAGAATATTACTTGGGCTGCAATAGATTGGATTATCGATATGGATGGATCTTGACAATTCACCAAAGAGGCATATTCGCAACTGCAAATTCATTTCAAGGCTCAAATCTGGTGCTGGACCACAGAATTTGATTTCTTCAATTTACCTTAGTTTTAATGAATCATGTACATCAGTACAGATGAATTACAATTGAAGTCACGCACCGGCGGCATGCACGAGTTTTCTCAGGCCAGCTTCATGCAGATTTGCCCTCAACGGCTTGACTGCATGACCCACTGCTCATACCAAAACTCGGAATCCTACTTTGTTTCCTTCAACATCTGTACCTATATGTCAAGCTTTGACCAAATATAATTGTCCCGAAAGCTAATGATTGCCTTACTTGGTTCTTCCCCCCGAATGATATATGATCAAAAGCCTGCCTGTGAACTTTTCACAACCGCAGTCCAGTGAAGCTTTAGTTGATTTACACACTCAACTCTGTACAGATTCAAGAGGCACCCGTCATGTTATATAACCAGTTCTAATAGTTTCACATGAAATATCTAGCCAGAATCGATTTCTCCATAGCCTTATCAATCACAAAGCATTGAGACTAAACCTTGATCCTTGGCAAATGGCCTACAAGTACTTCTTTGCACTTCAACCTTATTCCTCGAATTTCGTTTTTGGTTTCATATTGAACGATTTGCTGCCTTAGAAGTAAAAGTAATGAATGTGAATTGAGATCCCGTAAGATCTAAAAGAAATTCTGATCAAATCTTCAAAGTTGTGCTTAGGTAATTACACTCCGGTTAGGTAAAGGAGAGCTGCGACTTAGATCCAAGGATGGGCTCATCGCTGCATGATCCTTCAGAAGCTGTCGAGAAACACGATCAGCTAATACAGACTGTCCATCATAAGATTCCCCATGAACCAATCTTCCAGTTCCTGAATCAGTTTCTGATGGCACCAGTTCAGAAAAGATATGTGAACCTGCTTGCAGTCCTCGAAAAATGTCGGGATTATTATCGTGATGGAAGGAGCCACTGACAAAAAGACCATTCGAGGGCTTTGGCATGCTTCCAAAACCCTCTTGTAAGTAAGATGATTGTTTCAGATGACCAAAAGGAATAGCACCAATGCCACCTGTCAAGGGTGTAGATGAGCCTGAAGTGGTCCGGGGACTAGAAATGGGAGAAGGAGACATTCTTCCATTTAAATGTTGCGGTGACCTTGAATGTATAAGAGGGCTTCCTATGGGTGAAACAGGGCAAGATACATTCCTAGGAATATTGATATCACTGCAATAACATGGAATTGAAATGAGACACAGAAACATGCAGTATTGAAATCATTTTTGTCATCTAATTTCGAGTTTGTGCATGTACGAGACCTGGCGTGCAGTTTCGAAAATCTGGATGAATGAACTGCAAGTTGCTCTGACTCCAAGGAGGAATAATTCCTTGCTTGTCCAATGCCCTGACAAAGTTCGGTAAAATGTGACATTCAGGAACTAAACATGCCTAACAAACCACTTAAAAATCTGAACCAAATCAAAGATGACATAAAAAAAAACTAATGAGAAAGTAACCAGTAGGTAAACGGTTCCTGCCAATTGTCAAGTATTGCATAACTAAGAATTGAAGAAGAAACAGCAGCACTGCTTGTATAAGCAAAATTTTAAAACACTTCCTATTGATTTAATAAGCATCTTTGCATCACCCTATTGTCAGTGAAGTTCTCTACATTACCGGAACAACTTATAAAGAATCTCCTAGATGTTTGACTATGGGGCTCTTTCTGCCATTTTACCCTTGCAACTAGTCAATCATGAATTTCAAGAATTTTATCACTTTCATCCTTAACAAGTTCACTTGTGAAATGCTGATTGTAAAAAGCTTGTAAATAAGTTGACTATGTTATCCTACACTTTTCTCTGTTTTGAGTGAAAATTCCAATGAGATTCAAGGACTTAAATACCAAAATTCCATGGGGGTATTAGGGAGCCCACTTAGGCATATCTACACTAGGAATGTCGATATCATATCATACCTTCAGTTTTCATCCAGCTAATTATGGAGCTTTTGCAGATGAAGTGATGAAAACTAGAAAATGTTATTGAGCATTCAGAATAAATCACTCAAATTGAAAACATGACATGCTATTGTCCACTGTATGACTGCAGCACCATTTCAAGTAAGGAAATTACAGCAAGGACCATGTCACCCATTTTATGTTTGTATTGAAATTTATTTCGATTATAATTTGATATATTATATATTTCATCCCCTAAATTATCTGTTGAAGGTAATGAATGCAACAATATAATTCAGGCTCAAAACTCAATCATGGAAAAGACAAAGCAGTAGAAAAAATATAATTACCAGAGTTTTCACCCCATTTGTCACACCAGGGGTAGGATCTGAAGACTCAGCATCTGGCATAGGCCTTTCCAGAGGTGCAGCATATTTTATAAATGGGTGACCTAAAAGCTGAACTGCATTAGGACGATTTTGTGGGTTGCGTTGCAAACACTGGCGCACAAAATCTTTTCCTTCATCAGAGAGGTAATCTGGAATGGGTGGAAGTTCCTTGCTATTTCCAATCTTGAACATAGCCGCAACCTGACATACACGTATCACAAAGTAGAAATAAAAAACTGCTATTATTATAGACACATCAAACAGCTCTCAAATTTGAAATATCCCATCTTTCTATTCTGGTAAAATTTATAACAGACCCCTTCATATTGACTCCAAGGAGGTTTTGTTGTAGCCATTTCCAAAACAGTGCATCCAAGACTCCATATATCCACAGCAAGGTTGCAACCACTAGGGTTTCTTATAATCTGGGAAAATAATAGAAAAAAATTGAGATATGTTATACAGAGAATTTCACAACTGAAGAAAGCTCAAACCAAAAAAACATGTCATTTTCCCATTGGCGGTTGGCTGATAAGAATTTGAAATAAACCTAATGAGAAAATTAAGTCTAACCTCAGGTGCCAGCCAGTAAGGGCTTCCTTTAAACGAAAGTGGACACGACTTCCCTGCAATCTGCAAAGCATATATTATTATAAGTAGGAAATAACCTTACATGAGAGGTCGAATCAATGAATAATAATATAGCATTAAATAAGTCATATTTGAACTTCATGCTTGGGGTAGCTGCAATTTTTTTGGCTAAAGGGTTAGCTAAAATTTACTCCGATCAAGTTCATTTATAACAAAAAGTGATTACTCCCACACTTGCATGCTTTGCCATCCCAAAGTCTGCCAACTTAACACGGCCATTAGGGTCCACCAGTATGTTTGCTCCTTTAATATCTCTGTATAAGAAATCTAAGATGAACAATAGTTCCTTGATGCAAATATTACAAGACAGACACCATGAATTTGTAGTTCTACCATATCAAATAAGGAACAGATAACCTGACTCACCTATGGACAGTAGACTTAGAATGTAGGTAGGCAAGCCCAGACAAGATCTGTTGAGTGTAACTGCGAATTGCTAGTTCACCAAGCTGCCCATACTCCTGGAGGATTTTATAAATAGACCCACCAGATACATACTCAAGGTATATGTAAAGCTTGTCATCAACCTGTTCAGGAATTTATTTGAAACCTCTGTAAGAGAAGCATCGTACTAATTTATTTTTGTAAGAAATTGCTTAAAAAGTAATAGTGTTTTGTGTTTAGTAAGTTAAGATATCATAAAAAATCCCAAAAGTTTCTTAACACTATACGGTTCACTATTTCTTAATAAATAAACGAATAACTCTTTAGGAAAGAACCCATTAGTCAATGCAGCTTCCTGATATCTTAATAACAATTTTCAATAACCATAATAGACGAACAGATTGTTGGATATAGGACACACCTTTTCAGACCCATAGTATTGAACGATATTTGGATGCCATAAGCTGCTCAATAAAGCAATTTCCTGTCAGAGCAATAAGAATATGAATTTCTTTTAAAGCTATAACACAAGTTAAAGAATAACAAGGAAAGCATTGTTGCTTTTTGCATCATCCAGACAATATAAAACTTCTTAAGCTGATGGGCTTACCTGCATCAACTGCTTAGTACTTTCTTTTGATTTGGCATCATCAGAAAATAAGGTAACCTCTTTCATTGCACACATCTCACCACTCTCACTGAGAAACATTGAAAATAAAATTAGATATAGACATAGTAACAAAAGGAATCGCCAACAAATATTTCAAAAGAGTAGACATGTAGAAACCCTTAGATGCCCACTAGTTTAATATATCATGTAAGATATTTGCAAGAATCATATGTTATTGGTAAAATAGTATAAATACTGAAACATCAGTCTCAATTACTAAACTCAAGGAAAAACTAATACAAGGCATATACCATTAGACAACTATCCCTTCAAAACAATTATACCTGTTAAAACCAACATAAACATGACCAAATGTGCCTCTACCCAGTAGCTTTCCTTTTTTCCACCGTGACCCCGGGTTTAAAAGATTCTCCACCCCTCCTGGACTTCGTGGCACAGAGGGAGACGTTGCTGCTGAATTTGAAAGCAAGAAAAGAGAAGAAATGGTAGTTGTTAAAGGAGGAAGGGGCAACCTGTGGCTTTGTTGTTTTCCATCATCATGCCAACCAGTATGCGACTCAGTAGCTGTGCATGCTGATCTAGGATGAGTAGGAGTCACAGCACCACTATGAATTCTAGAACTGGGACCAGCACTGGTCATCCTGGGACTAGGTAGTGGAGAATACTCAGGGCTCCCCCTACTTGGTTGCCAAAATAGCTGTCCTGACATATCCCCACCCATTGAATTATGCCCGGAATTCTGACCTGATCCGGGACTGGAGCAATGGCCAGATCCAAGCAAAGTGATATCAGTATAAGTCTTTCCTGCCCAGAAAGGAGAGTTCATTACTTGCTCCGTGCCAAAAGCTCTCATTGGGCTTCTAGAAGGACTCGACATGTAGCTGTCAGGAGCGCTGCTGAAAGCACAATGACGTGGGATCTGTAGATTTGGCACATGATTGCTTAAAGGTCTTCTTTTAGGAGTTTTCGGAGAGATATTATTACCAACTGAAATGTTAGACTGTTTTCTAGCCTCTCTTGAGTTACTTTCGCTGACCGTAGAGGATGGATCCTTGACCATCACGCTTCAGACATAAAATAGCATAAATTTGTTAAGGGTGAGTTTTTTTAGCAAACAGAAGCGAGAAGACAACCAGAAGTAAAAATATCCTCCTTCTAGCACTAACAAGAAACAGGTATGCTCACCTCGGAGGGCTGCTTGCAGCAGTTCTAGTCCCATTGTCATAATCAGTTGCTCGTAGACTACGATGATGCAAGTCGGTGGGATCATCACTTTCAGCTGAGCTCTCACTACAAACTGAAGCAGTTACGTAATCTCCATCTATGTCATTAGGATTTAGCCTATGATGTATGCATCCAGGGAAACAACGTATGAGCCTCACAACCAACACCATAAGCTATATAAGCTGCAGTCAAGAAAATAGAAGTGCACACAACATACCAAACAACTATCAGAATATCAGAATCATAGTCCTAGCCACACATCAATTACCTACTTTGAGTACTTATACAGGGAAACATAACATCCGTTTTTTTTTTCTTTTTCTAGGCAAATTAGTGTATCTGTTTCTGTTAATGCATGTTGGTCTATCTTCTAGAACAATAAATTTCATCGGATGATTTAAACAATATATAGAAATCACACCACAAAGAAACCATGGCATCTCAAAATTTCTTGATTAAAGGGATCTTCTACACGGGATGCATGCCACTAAAAGATTCAGAACAGATATTATTATAAATCTTAAACCAGTTCTCTTAAACCTCAATCTGTACTGTCTTCAGCCTTTGGTGTTTCTCAAACACCTCTTTAGGTCCCAGAAGTACCGGATTCACACTGTTTCACTTCTACTTCTTTGAAAACATCGAAGCAGAACAACATTTTTTACTTCACCAATGTAAACAAAAGAAACTATAATAAAAGGAAAACCACATATTTTTTCTATAACCATGTAGCAAACTGAAATTCAATACCGATCCGCAACAAACATTTCCAGAAATCCATATTATAACCCAAAAACACGTGTGAATTTCAATTTCTTTTACTATTGACAGCGCGATTTAATACTTAACGTTTTCTTTTTCTTTTTCTTTTTCCTCCACAATTTTCTCGGAAACCAAACAAAAAAAATTACGATCTGAAAAGTGCTCAAAACAGTAAGTTCCAAACAACAGATCTACCTACAAACTCCAACGAACACCGTAATTAACTGAGAAATAATGGCTAACAAATATTGCTAAACATCAAATAAAACAAAAACAAAGAAAAGGAACTTACATCACATCCGCAAATCTGAGTTCCAACCCACTAACAAATTTAGGAAAATAGAGCGAAAACTTTGCTTTATATCATCCAATAAACCGCCAGCTAAAAAGCAAAAACCATAACGAAAATTTTAAAATAAACCCTATAAATCTAGATGGATTATTCAACAAAAATAATATATTTTCCTTCTTATGTTAGCTTAAGAGAAATTGCGTAGATCGCGTGGAGAGATTGAAAGAAACGGAGAGGGATGATCTCCGAGTTTAGAAATGGAGTTGCCTGAACGGTGATTTTAGAATATTAAAAATCAATTTTACAAATCATAATATAAATATATATATATATATATATATATATATATATATATTTAAAAAGTAAGAGTCTCAGACTGTAGCTGCAGCAGTAAGTAAGTTTCCACGTACGGTCATTCTTAATCTTTTACCTATGGAATATTTTAAAAGAAAATAATTTCAGTGACTAAAAATCTCATATAATATACGATTTTAATTAATTTTTTTCGGATTTACTAAAATGACCAACAAAATCGCAATGCGATCGCTAATTCGCAACGCGATCTCCATTATCGCAAATCAGTTTCCAGATTTGCAACGCGATTATTACTATCGCAATACGATTTTCCAATTTCGCGTTGCGATTTTTCCAATTCGCAATGCGAATTTGAAAAATCGCAATGCGAATTTGAAAAATCGCAATGCGATACTGACTATCGCAATGCAATTTTCCTAATTCGCATTACGATTTACATATTCGCGTTGCGATTTTCATAATTCGCAATGCGAATACGTAAATCGCATCGTGATTAAGTAAATCACAATGCGAATTAGGAAAATCGCAATGCGAATACATAAATCGCAATGCGAATCTGACTATCGCAATGCGATTTACATAGCGCCATTCGTATTAACGCGTATTTTTTTTTTCAAATTCCAAACACGAATTTTTCTTAATATATCGAAAACTGAACCGTCCACAGTAATCGCAACTCATAACCTCAAACCTAAAATCAAAACACTCAGTCCCATCTCCATCTCTCACTCTCTACGGCGAAATCCGTCCCCATCTCCGAAGATTTCCGTCCCCATCGTCGGCGAAATCCCTCACAACCATTCACGGTCAGAAATCCCTCACAATCATTCAGAAATGGAAAATCAACCTCCGAGGGTTAGTTTTTTTAATTATTTTTATTTTGAAATTTTTGCATTATTTTAGGTTTTTCATATTGAAATTGATGATAAGTTTACTAGTAATTTCAATAATAGATTAACCATTTCACTTAGATTTCTTATTAAATTCATTCGATTGCTGCCAATACTGCTAAACTGTTTAGTATTTAACCCTGTGAAGTTAGTATTTGTCTTTGTTTTGTCTTTTGGTTGAAGTAATGCAGAAGAAGAATAGTTTCGAGAATGAAAATCGCAACGCGGAAATGACTATCGCAACGCGAAACCAAAATCGCATTGCGATTTTCATTTCGCGTTGCGATTCTCTCGTTGAGATTTTCATTTCGCGTTGCGATTCTCTCGTTGCGATTTTCATTTCGCGTTGCGATTCTCTCGTTGCGATAGTCATTTCCGCGTTGCGATTTTCATTCTCTCGTTGCGATTTTCATTTCAACCAAAAGACAAAACAGTGTTGCAAATTTTAGTTTCAAGAATAAACTACTATTTATGTTTATTGTTTTTGTTATATCTTCACAGTGTAGTTTTTGGTATATCTAACTTGGTATGTTTATTGTTTTTGTAGAATTTTTTTTCGGCTTCATTGACATTAAGGAATAAAGTTAGCCTAGCCACTACAATTGCTTCGAAGCTTTCACCTGCACAAAGAAAATTGTTTGAGGAAACCTGCTTCGGGCCATGGCTGAGAGTACAGCATCCGGGTGGAGATGCTAATTTGACCCATTTGTGGCTTCAGACCATGACTAGCGATCTACCCGACAGTATACAACGTGGTGAGGAAGAGATATGGTTTCATTTTCCACCGACGTATACTTGTTTTGGACGGAAGGAGTTCTGCTTAATCACTGGTCTACGATTCGGACACGATGATGTAGGCCGGTACACTCGTCATATCACCCGCCCATCATGGTTATCCAGGGTTTTTCCTGATGAGTCAATAGAGAAGCCGAACTTACACGTCGACGACATGAAGAAATTGTTTAATAAGAAAGATGGTTTTACTCGGATGAATGACGTCGATGTTGTCCGAGTATGCCTTCTACTACTTTTGTATGCCGGATTTTTAGGCAGAGAGGCCAGACAACCTATTCCTCAGGAGCTAATATTATTGGCAGAGGACCTAAATGCATGGAATTTGTTTCCGTGGGGTTCGTATATATGAAAAGCTACCTGGACTAAGTTGTCGTCTGCCTTTGATGACCACAAAAGTTTGCGGGGCGATGGGTCGAAATACACTTTGTCAGGCTTTGTTTGGGCCTTTAAGGTAAGGATTTCTATATAATGTTTTCAAAATTATAATTAATTATTTAACAATTACTAATGTTTGTTATTATATTGTTTGTAGATTTGGATATTCGAGGCTTTCCCCAGCATGCAGACATATGCATTAAAAACCTCAAATGATATTCCTAGGGCTATTTCCTGGAAGAGGAAATGTCTGTTGGATTGGGAAGACTTAATACCATATGCGAAAATAAATAATGTAAGTTAACACAAATACTATCATATATAAACAAGTTATTAATAGTAGACGTTTAACTTTGTTTGAGTTTTTATATTTTTAGGAGGCCAACACTCCATTAATGAGATTGACACCCACGGAGGCTGAGCTTGCCACTGATTGGTGGCAAGTTAGTCAGCGTTTTCTTGATGGCACGAATGATGAGCAACCTCCACTTCGAGAGCCATCACCTCACCCAGAGCCATCACCTGATCGACCCGACTATACACCTCTACAACGAGAGCCATCACCTATCCCGTCACATCATCAAGCCTCTTCTCCACCATCACCTCATGATAGGCGACCGGCAAAGATGCCACGACTTCTATCTCCCTGTTCTCCACCTCCACGGGATGAGTCAAGGGAGTTACGTGATGAGGTCAATGCCTTGCGTGAGGAGATCGGTACTCTACGCGATAATGATGGTGCATGGCGTGTAGAGGTGTCTACTTTACGTGGTGAGGTTGCCGCTCTACGTGAGATGGTAGTATCGTTGCAGAATGAGGTTCATACTCTACGCAACGAGGTAAGTTTAAGATTTTCCATATTTAACTTGATGATAAATTTACTCGTAATTTCACTTAGATTAACCATTTCACTTAGATTGCTTAGTAAATTTATTCGGTTGCTGCCAATACTGCTAAACTGTTTATTAACACTGTGAAGTTAGTATTTGTCTTTTGTTTTGTCTTTTGGTTGAAAGTAAATTTGTTCGTTTGCTGCCAATTGAAACTATTCTTCTTCTGCAAATTGAAACTTGAATGAATTGCATTACTTCAACCAATAGACAAAGACAAATACTAAGTTGACAGTGTTGCAAGTTTGAAACATATTTGCCTTTGTTATCTGATGCATTTTGTGAACTATGATAGAATAATGACTTGGGTGAATTCAATGCAAGTTTAAAACAAATTTGTCTTTGTTTTCACTGTTTAAATATCATGTCTGTTTATTTACTGATATTTGTATTTAATTATTTAGCGGACCGATAAGGTGGATGCTTTACGTCGGGTTTTTCTTGCACGACAGAGTTCACGCATCAGACGGCGTGCACGTGCTATTAAGTCTCCGTACACCCCAATAGTGCGAAGACACCGCAAGAAGAAGCCCGACTCACCTGTCATCCCTCAAGAGTCCACTCCTATCGTTGAAGAGGCCCCTATCATTCCTCGAGAGTCCCCTCCCACCGTTCAAGAGGCCACTGTCATCGTTGAAGAGGTCCCTCCCACCATTCAAGAGCCCGATTCACATGGCGTCATATGTAGGATTCTTGAGAAACCCTCTGACGTGCCGGACATGATGGATTCAAGTTGGCTCTCGTATGAGTTACCGGCCAGTACCATATCGGTATCTGAAGTGGAGAGGAGACAACTACCGGACACAATTCTGGATAACACCCTTTGGGCTAAGACCGCAGTTGATTTTTATCTACATGAGCGGAGCCAGGGGTGTTTCACTGACATATGCAAGCTCAACGATGATATCTATTTGTTGCTTGATCGGTCTTGTTGGGGCGTATTATTAGGGGTCGAAGACAATGGCTATTTCGATGGAGGGGTAAGTCTTGTATTTTTCTTATATTTTAATTTGATTATTTTTTTTTAAATTTATGTAAGTTACTAATATATGTCTTTTTTTGTAAAACAACATATCCATGCGTAGGTGTCACGTCTTCTAATAATTAGGAAACTTAAGGAAAATAAAAGAAATACACGATATACAATTATGCCGACGTCTTTTAACGCCGTTCACTTGAAGAATCAATGAGATGAATCATTTGCGTTGGGCAATGGACAAGCTAAACTTTATCCTGCATGGTGGGAGGTCGATAAGGTTAGTATTTATTTTAGATTGAGTTTAAAGGTATTCATAAATAAGTGCGCAAATGAATGAATTATTACTTATGATTGCAGGTGTTTATCCCTGTTTTGGAATGTAAACATTGGCTTCTCGTCGAGCTTCAGCTCCCATCCCTTAAGGCAATAGTATATGACAGCATGATAAATTACATATCATTGGCTGATTTAAGAGATATTATTAAGGGATGGAGCTCTCATTTGGCTAAATTCTTGGATGCGATAAATTATTGGACTCGTTCTGGAAACAAAAAGCCAAAGAAGCTCAATATTACAGTTAGCAGAGACGAGACCGCACCACAACAAACGAAAGGACCCAGAGGGGATTGTGGTCCTCTCGTATGCTTGGCGTTGGAGCGTTTGATCACAGGAAGTATAAAGTATCTACCTCCCACCGATAGAGATAGAGCTGCAGTAGGCTTGTGGTTTCGGCATTATATGGCTAGATCGATATATATGAGACGCTGCCTACCTGCATCCGCGTTATAAAAATGTCCATAAACAATTGGTAAGTTTATAGGCTTGTGGTTTGAAAATGTTTGGTTAAGTACCTAGAATTCAATAATTTGTTGTTTGTAGGTTTTAGATGTGTAGAAAGTGTTGTTTGAGCAAATGTTTGGTTTATGCAGGTTAATCTCAGAAGTGAGCTGCGTGAAAATGATGTATGGCTGCAAAAGTTGATTCAATAGTAGATGAGGAAATAAGAATTATTGCTTAT